TAGCAAAAGGATAAAGATAATGTCCATGATGAAGGTTATTAAAAGAAGGTAAACAAGTTTTGTGCATGTGAGAGGTTCACAGTCAGAACAGAACAAAACACAGGCAGACGACCGAGAAGGCTCCAGACATGCTGCAGGGCATGCTGCACAAGTATGCTGCAGCAAGGCTGGAGGACTGCCAGGTGTGTGTGTGTGTAACTGTGAATTTTACTGTCCGAGTGAAAATTTATGAGCACAAGAAGCTGGAAAACTCGTGTAAAAGTTGTGGAGTTTCTGCAGGGATCAAGCTGACTAACATTTTGAATGACAGACTTTTCAAAGAACATGTAAAGATCAAGTTTGTCCATGAAATGTTAACAGAGTGCACTTTTTCTAGTATAAACATTACAAGACTGTGAAAAGTATTTTTTATTCAAATAACTAATATAAAAATGATGCCATGAAAAGTTTAAAACACTCGTTTTTTGCAGAGACAAACTATGACAACCTTTAATCCCTTACTTTGTTATATTAATTATCACCGTCCATGTGATTTTTTAAATCTGTATTGTTAGCAAAATACCAGACAACTACTAGATGGACTTCAATGAAACTCTCAGAAAGTAATCATTTCAAATTTTAAACCAATTTTACATATATTAAGTTCAAGTCTGATGCGGTAGTAGCTGAGAGTCATCCCCAACACATAATCTGGGTGTGAGCACACCTTGCAAGATCTCAAAGTATTGCATGAGATCTGAAGGTTTAGTCAAAACAGCTCAAACTCGTTCATACCACAAGTCCAGCTTGGACTCCCTTAAACTAAAATGGGAAGCAGACTTGGAGGACCCATATCAGACTCAATCTGGAAAAGGATCATTAAGAACTCCAACAATGTTCAGTCAGGTCATCTGGACAGTTGCTTTTTTTTTGTTGAGAGACATTTCGCCCTCCATCCGAAGGGCTTCATCAATCTGAGGTCACATACAAACTGTTATTGAAGATTAACTTTGATGTCTTGAACCACTTTGGCTGTGGCTGCCTGGGAGGAGTCGACGGGGGAGAGGACTGCCCCCAGAAACCATCTTATCAACAACAAATTGGTTGGTCCACTGCAGGAGTGTACTGCTTGGTGGGTAAAACAGTTTGTATGTGACTTCTCAGATTGATGAAGCCCTTCGGATGGAGGGTGAAAGGTCTCAAGAACAAAAAACAAAAGAAACTGTCCAGATGACCCGACTGAATATTGTTGGATTTCTTTACCTGGATTATTGAGCATGAACCTTGAGATCATTAAGAACATTCACTCATCTTCAGTCTGCCTGAGACACGATGTGATTCAATTCAAGGTAGTGCACAAGCTGCACTGGTCCAAAGACAAACTGTCCAAGATCAAGGCCGACCTGGACCCCGCACGCAATCGTTGCAAACAAACTCTAGCTACACTTCTGCATCCATTCTGGACATGTCATAAACTGCAGAATTTTTGGCAATCTATAATTGACAATTCTCTGGAATATGTGGTCAAACTGTACACCCATCACCACTCACCGCACTGTTCGGGGTGGTACCTGTAGATGCATCATTCAGCAAATGCGAGAAGGATGTGGTTGTTTGGCTCTCTTTGGGCCAGGAGACTAATTTTGTGCAACTGGAAGGACTCACCCCCCAACCCAGGTGTATGTACAATGGGTAAGAGAGGTGATGAACCATATCCATTTTGGAGAAAATAAATAATAATGTGTTATGTATCATCACCATTGTATGTTCCCATACAATGGTGAAATTGGATCTCTGCATTTAATCCATCCACCACCAGGTGGAGCAGTGGGCAACTATTGAAGGTGCCCAGGGAGCATTTTGAGGATAAGGTGTGCTGCTCAGAGACACCACGAGATGTGCAATGACTGGGGATCAAACCTGGGACTTTCGAGTCCCGAGTTGGCTGCCCTGCCTCTACTCCATCTCGGCCCCCAAATAAGGTACACCCTAAGCCTGGGGTTCTGTAAAAAGATTTTGGCACACTTGGCGACCCTTTATGTTGTATGTAGAATGTATGCCAATGCCTGTTTAATTTGTATGTGTGTTTGACTGATCCGGGATTGTGGTGGAAAGTTTTATGTTTTTTGTTTTTTTTTATGTTTCCTGTTTTGTGTGCATTTAAAATTGAAAAATTTAATAAAAATACTTTGTTTAAAATAAAACCCAGCTCAAACTCTCTCCCTGTTTAGCAGAAGACGGCATTATTTAAAACCTCAGCATGAAAGGTGGCTGGGTTTATGCATCCCTGCAATGAATGCTACAGGTCTTCAGGTTCAAATGGCAATGTGCATTCAATGCTGCTCTTCAACAGCATCAAATGTGGACTAAAAGTAGTCAAATCAGCCAAATATCAAACACAGGATACAGTAGATAAAATCTTTTCCTGCACTTTGGACCTTGTGTTTTAGTTTTTCAAAGAGGACAATGTTCTCTTTGTTAAAAGAATATGTAAAATAAGTCGGCACACCCAGATGACTTTAGCTGAAGAAGATACTGTACGTTCTGCAGTCAAACAGATTCATTATCTCGCCTGCCTGTTTAAAATGACGACTTCACTGGAGTATGCCGTTAAATGTTGGGCTCTTTGTGCATTTTTTCAGTATAAGAGTTAGAAAATTGAACGAAATTGATTAATATTCCATGCGCAGACGAGAGTCTGTAACGTTATGTTCTTCTAAAATCTGTTTAATACTTCATGTTGGCACCACAGATTTTCTGCTTTGGCTTCGAGCACATGGTGTTCCCCGAGTACATGATTATTTCAAACGCTGAGATGGATTTAATCAAAGGTCCTACTTTTCTGAAATTGATAAATTCAACAAGACAATGGCGTGAAAAACAACTGAAGTTTTGCAGAAAACTCAAACTTTATGCACTTCTTCTCAGACTTTAGGAACTCCGAATGTCTAACACAGCTGATGTATTTGATTTAAAATCAAGTTAAGAACGTCTCAGTTATCAAGTTCAAATTTATTGTCATTCGCATCTCATGAGGTGGAATGAAATTGTGCACTCAGGGTCCCAGTTAAAGCAAAAATGGCAAAAATATAAAGTATAAAAAGAAACATTAAATAAGGATCCAAGATATAAACTATAAGATATACACTAAACAAATGCCAAACTATGGTAAAGGATCTAAAATATGTGCTAAACACTAATAATATACTGAAATGAATTATAATATTAATCACATGGGCTCCACAAAAATCTATAAGAAAGTTTTTTGGTTCGTACAGAAGCTCTTTTAAGAAACACCCTATTTACACAACAAGAACATGTTCAACATAATTCGCTCCACAATTTTTGTGCTATTTCCATAATTCATGTATCAAAACGTTCAGCTCCATCAGGACATTTCGGCTGTGGTGTTTGGTATTTGTGCAGTTTTTTTTTTTTTTACCTTTTGAAACATTGAGCTGTTTGGACCGTGTTTTTCTTATTGAAAATAAATGGCGCTCGCTCGGCACATCCTTCAAACTCTGTTTGCAACTTTTTACAGCTCATTGTTCTGGTTCGGCTTGTTTCAGCTTCTCTTTGCTCATTTCAGCCTTTTCAGTTAATTTTAGAGTATTTTTTCTCCAAACTTTAGCCTTTTTTCTATTATTGTTTGTGCCAATTTCCACCTTTTGTTATTATTTTGAACAATTACAGCTTTTTATGCTTTGTTCAGATTTTTTCAGTTAATTTCAACTTTTTTTTTTAGCTTTTTTAGCTAACTTCAGCTTATATCTGTTCATTTCAGTTTCTTTTTTGTGCTAATTTTATATTTTTGTAACCTATTCAACCTTTTGCTATTTCAGGTTATTCTGCTCATTTCTGCTTTCTGCTTTTATTTTCCTGCTTTCAGCAAATGTCATCTCTTCAAACTCAACTCACGTCATTCAGCAGAGACCTTTGCAGCCTGTTTTCAACTTCTTTAGCTGATTTCAGCCAAAATCTTTTTGCAATGAGCATTCACACTGCATTTTTGGCAGGAGATGCAATTTGTCCAGTTGTGTTTGGATGTAGACTTTCCCTTGGTCTCATTTACGCTTTCCCACCAAGACACACACACACGTCACATGACAACCTCAGAAACAGCAACAGATGAGGGGGACGGTTTATTTTCTTTCGAGCTTGAGGTTAGTGAAAACACAACAGATGTCAGGTTTAATCTACGGTGGCCCTAAGGTGTAAATGAACAACATTTTGAAGTCTATTTTTTAATTTTAACTTTATTAACAGCATGAAACCGAACAACAGAACAATATACAGTACACGCAAATCGGAGGTGTGTGTACTGTATATTCTAAAAACGTTAAGTCGGGTCCTGTGGATGTTCAAAAAATAAACAAAATCATAGAAATGTTTCGTCTTTCATTCGAAAGGCTTCTTCAGTCTGAGGTGCTGTATTCAGCTTGGTCTTAATAGCGCCTTCTCATAGTGGATCAACCAGTTTGTTGACATTAAAACCAGCTGATCACATGATCAAGAAGGACCATCAGCCTAACAATGGATCATTAGCACCTGATGGCTGCTTGCTATTCACAGGAGGCTGAGTGATACTAGCAATAACAGCATTAGAGGGGGACAGTTGAACCCGGAGGCCTCAGAGGACCTGACTTAACTTTTTTAGATCTTTCTACCTGGATTATTGAGCATGCATCAGGATGAATATTGTTCTCTTGTTCGGTTTTATGCTGTTCAAAAAGTTTTAAAACAAAAAACTTCCTGTTGGGCTTAATGTAATTCTGTTTATTTCAAATGTTGTTCATTTACACCTTAGGGCCACCATATTGTTAATCAGAGATAGAGATTAGTTGCACAAAGGACCTCTTGTCCAGTAAAATTCTTCTCATACTGCCTTCATTGGATTTTCCTTCTTGTTGCTTCCTGTGCATTTCCACTTTGCAGCATTTTAGCTTCCCCTCCACAAATCTATTTGCTGATTTTAACTTCACTCTTTTCGTCTTTGTCTTTTCTTCCCGTCCTCATCTCAGACTGGACTGCTGGTCGCGTGCTACCAAGGTTTTGTGGACGTGGTCATAGCGCTGTCTCAATGTCCCTACCTGGAAGTCAACTGGCAGGACAGTGAGGGAAACACTGCTCTCATCACCGCTGCACAAGCAGGTAACACAACACGCACACATGCAGGTCCAAATCAGGGTCCGACTCAGTTCCATGCACACAGATGCGGACAGGCTGAGCCTCATGCTTGCACAGACACAACCAACGTCCCGTTTGGCAAAATCGCTGACGCAGAGCGTGAACACTACTCGTCTTGTAACGCAAGTGTGATCTGAGCAGCCACACGAGCTTCGTTTTTATCACCACCCAAAACTCTGCAGACAAGTGAGTTTGTGTCTGAAAACTTGCTTCCAAGCGTCGCCACAGCAACATGTGACAGTTTGGAGGTGCTGTGTTCCCCACATGAAGAATGTCATGATACCAAATATACTTGCATTAACCCATTTTATTTGCGTACGGACATAAAATTGTCTGCAGTGAAGCGGGCGCTGTACCGGTCCGTCGTGGTGAAGAGAGAGCCGAGTCAAAAGGCGAAGCTCTCGATTTACCGGTCAATCTACGTTCCTACCCTCATCTATGGTCATGAGCTTTGGGTTGTGACCGAAAGAACGAGATCACGGATACATGCGGCCGGAATGAGCTTTCTCTGCGGGGTGTCTGGACTCTCCCTTAGAGATAGAGTGAGACTCTCTGTCATCCGGGAGGGACTCAGAGTAGAGCCGCTGCTTCTCCACGTCGAGAGGAGCCAGTTGAGGTGGCTCGGGCATCTGGTTAGGACGCCTCCTGGACGCCTCCTTGGTGAGGTGTTCCAGACACGTCCCACCAGGAGGAGACCCAGGACACGCTGGAGGGACCATGTTTCTCGACTGAACGCCTTGGGATCCCCCCCAGAGGAGCAGAGGGAAGTCTGGGTCTCCACTTAGATTGCTACCCCCGCGACCCGACCCCGGATAAGAGGAACAAAATGGACAGATGGACATAAAATACGCTGTGTAGTCGACTGCTGAGGCAGTTGTGCTCAGTGCAATAACAGCTTGAACATTTCTATAAATAACTTATGATATACAGGATTCAATGCTCCTCTGGGCTCACACATGAAAACTACAATAACGCGTAAACAAAGAATAAATTATCATACAAGCTTAGAGATGATCGTGATTACCCTGTTTTAATGATGCCACCACGATATTTCCTCATTTAGGTTTTAATGCTGGTTAGGTTCATTTACTTAAGATTTTGTCTGCTAAAAGTCAGAATGATAATTTGTTTTTGAATGTTTTTCTTTGATTCATAGACTTTAATATTCAATTTTTTTGTGTTTGACATATTTATATTTGGCTGATTTATTATTATGTCTTTTGAATTTTTAGTTGTTACATCAAATTGTTGCTTCAGGCGATGATTTTTACTACAAATGATCCCTTTTGTGTGTGTTTACAAATGTTTATTCTACTTTAAGTTGTGTTTTTTTTTTTACACGTTTTGCATTTTTGCTTATGTTATTCAAGCATCTTACATCATTTGTGACATTTGTCTGTGACTTGTCAGACAATTTTGTCTTTACATCTGAATCTTCTTGAAATTGTTTGCCTGAAGAAAGTCAAGTGACCCCCCCCCCCCCCCCTGCTGTTTAAGGTCACATCACAATCACCAACTATCTGCTGAACTACTACTCGGGGCTGGACATCGAGAGAAGAAACTGTCACGGTTTCACTGCTCTTATGAAAGCCTCCATGCAGGGCAGAGTGGACTGCGTGCGCTCGCTCATGATGGCCGGTGAGCAGATTGTGCAATCACTAGAAATGTTCGGAGCTCTACAAGTACCGTATTTTTCAAATTATAAGGCACACTTAAAATCAAAATTCGACAGTTCGCCTTATAATCCGGTGCGCCTCATGTATTAATTTATAATCCGGTGCCCCTTATAGTCCGAGACTAGTTGTAAATCTCATAAAGATCTCCTTTATATATATATATATATATATATATATATATATATATATATATATATATATATATATATATTTGTTTCTTTCTGTGTCCAACAGGAGCTTCTCTAAATGCGCGGGACTTCGGCCGCAACCTGACAGCCAGGGAGTGGGCCATGTTTACGGGCCGGTACGAAACCGCCTGGGTGATGACGCGCCTGATAGAGCGGTCCTGTGCGTTCCAGTGCTGCGATGCATTCAGGTAAAACTCACTCTTTGAAGTTTGGTGCCTCGGCTGTTTTTTTTTTCTAAAATATTATTTTCCCAAAGTGCATCCCTCAGAGGTTGATAGAATATATGAAAACGACGTGAATTGAAACCTTTTTTTTTTTAATTCATGCCATTTGTGACATTGAAAAACCTATAGAAAAAGTCAATTTACTTTACTTTACAGGGCTGTATAAATAAATAAAAAAGCCTCTTGCCTCAAGGAACAGACATAAGTTTCACATTCAGCCTCTTTAGTCTGAAGAACGTCATCAGGCTTTTCCAGATGGTTGTGTAAAACATAAACGGCCCTTCCAGCCATGTGCTTATGCACAAATCACTATCAAAGTTTCAAGACGAGCATCACCACACAGATGTATTACGTTGTCTCTTCCTGGGTATTTACTACCACAACTGCTTTAGAAATAAAACTTGGGCTAAAAACTGGAATAAAACTAACAACAAAACATTTTTCATTTTCATTTAGCCTTTATTTATCCAGGTTAACAGGAGTCTTGGTGAATGTTTTAATTTATTATATTGGTTCTGAAACATAAACTACTGTATAGTTTCTGTGCAGCAGGTTTAAAAAAAAAAAAACAACTTACTCCCCCTAGCTTAGAGTGGCCCCCGCTGACGTCGCTGGTGGCCAAAGCCCAGGAGCCCCGCAGCTGTCTGAAGCGCATATCGGACACGGTGCGGAACGTCTTCAACATCGCAAACGTCACCAACCCAGAGGAGGAAGGCGTCATGGACCACATGGTGTCAGTCACTACGGCCTTAAAAAGCCCATTTATCGCCGTGGCGTGCCGAACTGTGAGTGCTTTAATTTACACGTTTATTCTTTCAGATTATCCATGCTGCTGATTTCTTACCTTAAGCTGCTATATTCATATCCATCTGCTCACAACAGACTCATGTTCAGGCTGCTGTTTAATACATCATATTAAATAACAGGTTAGAAAACCAGCTTATTACATTAGGTGGTTTTCTACAACTTGGAGCTGCTGATTATTTCAAAAGCTCAAATATTGCCTCAACTATATTCCCAAATTCCAAATGAGTTGAAAAGGAGGTGCCGTGGATGCATTTCCATCTACCTGGAGGTGGTGCTCGAATGCCTGACCGCCAAGATTTTGGAGGTGGCGGGAAACGTGGTTCGTGACAGCAGGAAGACCAAGATCATCCCTCTGCAACTGCAGTTTCGTCAGCAGTGGTGACGAGGGGCTCGGCAGGCTGCTGGGAGGAATGGCCATTGCTCGGGGACGAGTTCTGACAGGCATTCAGGTGGACCTGCTGCCCAAGAGGACCGAGAGGTCTGCTGGGTTTGGGTGGACGGATTGGCATCTGCAGCCAGTTTCTTCAGATCCTCTGTGGGACGGACTGCTACTAGAAATCCTTCCTGCCCACAGTTATCAGTATCTATACAAACTAATGCAACCAGGATGTGCTACATAAACAGTTAGTTTCCCTTTGGGATTAATAAAGTATTTTTAAATTGAATTGTTTAGCGTATGTCTTAGATACTTGTATAATGTTTCGTTTTTATAATTTAATTTTTGCTATTTTTGGGTGTAACTGGGACCTTGAGCACACAGTTTCATTCCACCTCATGTACCACGTGTGATGCGAATGATAATAAAGAACCTTGAACCGTGAGAGGAGGGGTTGCCAAATGGCGGACTGTCTTCCAGATCTGGACCTAAATCAGTTGTTGGATTCCAGTAAAGAGAAATTATTTAGATATATTTGTATTTATTTATTTACTGGCATGGGTTTTTCCTTATTCATAGTAGCTTATTTTAGGCATGACAGCTTTTGTTAGCATTTAAAGTTTATTTTTGTGGTTGTGCAGCCTTTCTATCATTTGTGGAATGGTAATTTATTTTGGCAGCACAGCTTTTCCTGTGTTTAATGTAACTCACTTCAGGTGGCTCAACTTTTCTAGTATTTACAGTAATTCTCATGTTTCGCTCATGGTTTCCAAGGTTCAAGGTCCTTTATTGTCAATGTCATGTGGTACATGAGATGGAACAAATTTATGTACTCAAGGTCCCAGTTACACCCAAAAATAGCAAATATATAAAGTATAAAAAGAAACGGTGTATAAGGATCAAATATATACACTACAATATACAAATTATTCCATCGAAACAGTATATAAGATATACAAGTACCTCATATAAGTAGTATAAGCAGTATACAGTATAAGTCGTAAACGTAGTATACAGTAAATATATAAGGATCTAAGATATACATATTATTCCATCAAAACAGTATTTAAGGTACATAAGAACCTCATAAGTAATATAAGTAGTACTGTATACAGTATATGTAGTAAAAGTAGTATACAGTATATAAGAAACAGTATATAAGGATTTAAGATAGACAAATTATTCCATCGAAAAGGTATATAAGGTATATAAGGTATATAAGTAACGGTACCTCATATATACAGTATAAGTAGTAAAAGTAATATACAGTAAACAGTATATAAGGATCTAAAATATACGTATTATTCAATCAAAACAGTATTTAAGGTATATAAGTACCTCATATAAGTAGTAAAATTAGTATACAGTAAACAGTATACAAGGATCTAAAATATACATAATATTCCATCGAAACAGTATTTAAGGTATATAAGTACCTCATATAAGTAGTAAAAGTAGTATACAGTATATAAGGATCTAAGATATACAAACTGCCAGTCCACTGAAAGGCACAGGACTGAAAAAACATGTCTGTTAGTAAAAAATAATATATATATATATATATATATATATATATATATATATATGTATATATATATATATATATATATTGGACCTTTGCTCAAAATATAATTATTTAGGTGAACTTTGCTGAAGATTAATTGAAAACCACTGCCAAGGATCCTTCACAAACACTTTCCCTTTTCCTACAAAAGCAACACGAAAGGTTCATTTGAAAACTAAGATACAACAGTAAGATAATAAGTAAATTTTATGACGAGGAACCATTTTCCTGCTGTTCTCCTGCTTGTATGAAATATTGAGGTAATTAGTTTTTAAAGGATAAACACAACCTCAAATCATCTTTTGTTAATTAAAAATATATAAAAAGAATTCTGGTAATCACAATTAAAAGATGCAATTAATTCCTGCTTTGATAAACGGGTTATTCATGCAGGATTAACAGTACAACAGGATGACAGAGCTAAGAAAATATTTAGAATAATTGAAAACAAAGTATTTCTTGATGCAATACATTTTACCCACTGCCTTTCATGTTTTACAATCAGATTAATTCACGATGAAAAATGTAAAAGGTGCGACTGTTTGGAAGATAATGCTCAGCAACTACCACACCAAACTTTCGCTCAGTATCTGTTAAAATGTGTGAGTTATAGCCATTTTTGTGCTGATTAATTTTCATTAATGATTGTGGCCATCTTAAACTGGATTGTCTCCAAATGTTAATTATTTGTAGAGTGATATCTTATCATTCATTTTCTGAAAGTTTCATTAAAATATTTCCAGTAGTTCATGAGATATTTTGCTAAAAATCAGAGAGAGCTGACTCGAATAGTTAATGCCAAACTTTTAAACAACGTCCCACGCTGTTAGCGCAGACAGTATAAGTTTGGGATCAAGACATTTTATCAAACATTTTGTGTTTGACAATATTCTTTTTGCTGTGGCAGCCATCTTGAATTGATCCCACAAGGTTATAATTTGGAGACGTCAACTCATTGATTACGTCCGGTCGAAGCAGATGGCCGTTTGTCCTGACCCTGGTTCTGCTGGAGGTCTCATCCTCATGAGCGAGTTTTTCCTTTCCACTGTCGCCTCTGTGCTCACTTAGGATGGGAGACTGCGATGGAGTGAAACCTCGAAGCAGTCTGTTGCCTCCTCAGATAAATAACGTTATTAACTGACCTTCTATGAAGGTGAATGTTCGATGCCCCGAGATAACTTCTGTTGTGATCTGATGCTATATAAACAAACTGAATTTAATTCATTGAATTTTGAAAGTTTTATTAAAATTGTTTCCGTGATTCACGAGATGTTTTGCTAATGGCGCAGATTAAGGGTCACACACAGCGACCGAGGTGTGTGATCAGAATCAAAATAAGTTTTATTATCATTTTAACGAAATACAGTGAGATTATGTTCGGACAGTCATCCAAAAGATGGACGGAGTGCACGTTGCTGCTGCTCCTGAGAGCGCGGCCCCTTATCCTTTTTCAGAATACTTTTTAAATAGAAAAGGCCATGAGGATAAATAGTGGTATTACAAAAAAGATCTCTTCACACCTTGTCCGTATCAGGACATGATTTAAGACATCAAAAAACTCTGCCAGCAGCACATTTATAAACACGTTACATATGCATGTGATGGCACGATGGTGAGATTTGTCCCTGAAGCACTTCCATAGTCCTGATAAGATGTTGGTGTCAGCTGGTACAGCTCTGATAAGCATTCACAGAAGTTCTCCGGGGGGGTTGTGACACACACAGCTTTTTCTTAGTTTACACATATCCAAGGAGAAATCTGATAGTCAGCATGCTTTCGAGGCCAACTGAGGGACTCAGATACAGATAAGCCACAATTGTTGATTTTTTTCAGGTAGACTTTTTTTTTTTTTTGTCAGCCTTGGGTCCTGTTGGTAGTTTCGAGCCTAAAATGGCCAGATTTGTGGGAATTCCACTGGTCCGTGCTTATGAGCCCCCTTCAAGGTCGTCCCCAACATGCTGGCGAGTCTCAGAAGCTGCAGGTGGCCTGCGATTCTCTCATATCACTTCCATCTTACGGTTTAGCTCGTAAATCAGCTGATTTTGAGTCCTCAAAGCACGGACCAAACCTTCACACAGACTCTACAGTTTTGCCATGGCCAAAACTGCTGCTGCCGTCTTCTTTAATAGCCGATAACATACGTATCTGCCAGTGCCAAAAAGCAGAAACCCTGCTATCATGAATCCAATTATATTAACGTCTTCGGCGTCCTCCTGAGACAAAACAGAAAGACACATCAGCTCCCAAACTCCCCACGGATCCATGACGTATCCTGCCGCGTGCGTCTCAGCGGGGCATGAGGGCTCTCCAGGACCCTGTCGCTTTGTTGACAAGATTTTATCGATTGCGTTAAAAGTCCAGCTGACCAGATCCGTAACAGTAGTTTTAGTTTCAGAAGATGTGTAAAATAGGAGCTCCGATACACAGACGGAGAGCAAAAAAAAAAAAAGCAGGAGGAGAAAGTGTCCACCTTGCACGAGAGCGAGTGAGGAAAAAAAAAATCCTGTGCAGAGCAGTTAATATTGTTCTACTGATAATATATGTAGCTGTTAAAGCTAATCAGAAGCTGTTTTGTTTTGTCTCAGGTGTGTCCTGGCAGTCCTGCAAGCGTGGGCAAACGGCGGCAGGCAGTGCCAGAGATCATCCGGCAGCAGCGCGCCAGAGAGCTCCGCTCCACCAACCCCAACAGAGCGGACAGCCACCTGAAACTCTTTCAGAACTCTCAGGTCACTCTGGTGGCCAAGAACTCCGAGGACCGCCGGACCAGCCTTCAAATCCAGAGATTGGCCTCTCGACAGAGGAGCTCCAGCCTGGGCCCGGTGGCCCACAACCAGGCCCTGGAGCTGCGCAGAACCAGCCTGCTGCCCGTGCACATGGTGATGAGAAGGAGAAGCGTCAGGCCAGGCTTCAGCATTCCCAAGGTCAGGGTTTCAAAGGCACCGACGCCCACCTACGAACCGGACAGGACCCAGAAGAAAAGCAGCATCAAGGACGGAGGGGGGAATTTTCTGCAGATCCCCAAGTGGAGGTACAAGGAGCTGAAGGAGCAGAGGAGGAAAGCAGAGGAGGCTGAGAGGAAGAGGATGGAGGCTGTAACCAGGAGACACGTTGCTGCAGGGAGGAGACGATAATATATTCACCTCAGGGAACTTTTTATTATCCTTCAAACAAACAAACCTGAACAGAGCTGCAGAAAGAGCTGGCATTTATATTCTGCATCCAGGGATTCCTTTTGTAATAAAACTGAAAGCTGACGATCGGCTGCTTTAAGTGGCTTCATCAGCTTTATTGCAGTTTATAGAATTCCTTGTTAAGTCGAACTTTTAAAAAGTTTCTAGTTAACTTATTATTATTTATTGCTTTTTTAAATAAATGCTAAGACATTAGAATGAGCAATGCATGTCTTTAAAATATCCACTAATGAATGCATACTTTACAAAGCTAAAAGGAAATATAACAAACTACATTAAGAGATATATTTTTAGAATACTATTTTTGCTTTAAAGCCTTAGCCTGAATGTATTTGTATACAAATGTTTTATATTTTATATTAGAGACTGAATTATTATTATTTTAATTCGTTGTGGATTTTATAGTTAAATGTAGAAAAAAATGTAAACTTCCCAGAGGAGTGGAAGATTTTGCTAATTTTCCAAATGTTTACACCACAAAACCAAATTTAATTGTCTGTTAGTGTTAAATGATGCAAGAACAGATGGGAGAGTTTTACAGGGTGTGGATGGTGGGAACGAAATAAAAAGTTTTGCCGACAGCGACTGCGCCTCAGCCATATTGTTAGAGGAAGTTAAAGGAGATGTCAAAGTGTTGTAAAAAAATGACTCAGTATCAGTAACGCCTTGTTCGGTGTGACATTCCAGTGAGGGTTTCCAACATATGGAGCCTTTGATTAAAAACAGCCAGCCCATTAAAGAGCAAGAGGTCACTTTCCTGTTTGAACATTAAAATAGTGAAAATAATGGGGCGAAAAATAAGCATGATTTAAGCACACGGAGCCACGGGCAGAGCCGCAACGCAACACTGTGTGGAATTTTGAGAGCACAATTTCACGCTCCTTACTCCTCGTGGCGATTGGGGCTTAAGTGCTACCCGAGAGCGTGTGTCCAATATACATGGTGATGAGTTGCTAAGGGGTTACAAGGGCTCTGCACAGTCAAATGGTTTCTCCAAATAAACCGCACTGGCTTCAGAGCAGTGGAGTGCAGAGACCCAGTGAAGTGAGCGGTGCAGAAGATGGTCCGATGGAACATTTACTGAAATTTACACACGCACAAAGAAACAAAGTGTGCTTAGAATTAACACATTTCACAGTACAAGTAGGTTTTGCACTGTCATGGAAAAAGAAACCAGCTTGGCTATTGTTAAAATTATATATTCATTCAACCTTTATTTAGTCGGGTAAATCCCATTGAGCCTCGAGGACTCATTTACAAGAGAGACCTGATTTCAACGAAGAATGATGACAACAATGGACAGCAGCGACAATAGACTGTTATAAAAAGGTATACAGATTTTTTTAACAAATTAAAATAAGATGGCAAAAAAAGTAGCAAAAACAGGTAAATTATAAGGTGGTGAATGTAGAATATATATATATATATATATATATATATATATATATATATATATATATATATATATTCTGTTTTGTTCTAAATAGTTAGCAACTGTAAATATCTGATCTGTATGGAGTCCCCAATGGGACATATGGGATTTTTTTTTTTTATATATATATATATATAATATTTTTTTGCGTTGCCATTTTGCATTCCCACACAAAAGTTTCGTTACCTCGCAGACAACAGCAACAATCAAAGAGACACTACAGTAGTCCCTTGTTTATCACGGGGGGATGCGTACCCTGAAGCCCCGTGATAAGTGACAAACCGCGAAGTAGGAATAGTAGTACAATACAAGTAGTTAAGTAGTAGTTTATATATATTAAAACATAGCCCACACTCTTGCAATATTCTAAACAATGTTTCTAAACTCTAAACACTCAAAGAGCACAGAATGTCATGATTTCAGCTCCCTGCCTCCTCTGCTCTCAGCCACCTGCAAGTGCTCTTGGCCACGCCCACTTCTCCGCTCTGCATGGAGAACAGCTGATCAGCTGCAGGAGGAAGCTTATCCTGCAGAGTGGGCTGCACAAAGTTGCAGCAAGTGGTAAATAATTTAAAACAATTTATTTTGAATAAAATGTCTATGCCGACCGTGCGGCTCATCCATCAATCAGCCAGTTGCGTGTCATGTCCAATGATATTTTGAAAAACCACGATAGTGAGAGTCCGCGATCAACAAACTGCGAAGTAGCGAGGGACTACTGTACACCCATATTTGAGGTTCATGAAGTTTTGATTTCATGGAGTCCACTATGAGAAGGTGCTATTTATAAGACTGAGTTTATTGCAGCTCCTCAGACTTAAGTCTTTTGGATAAAAGACGAAACGTTTCAATAAGAAGTATCATCCAGAGGACCTGACTTAACTTTGCTAGATTTTTCTTCCTGGATTATTGAACATGCATCAAGATATTCATGGAGTTTTATTTTGAAATTGGCTACAAATATAAAGATATACAGTCTGTGCTTGCATAAAGGCACTCGTACTGCGAGGTAACGTAAAAGAAAAAAGTCCCTGATGTCCCCTTGGGGGCTCCGTAGAACAGCGGTGACATTAGAAGATGGAACATGAAGAAAATGGAAAATATTTTCCTTGACTAAGCTAGTGGCTAGCCAACCTACTTAAAAAAAAAAAGAAAGAAAGTTTTTTGGTCCTATAAAATAACTTTTTGTAGAAATGCTTTATCAGTGTGAAAAAACATTGCATTAGCTAATACTATGCCAAGCCGTCAGGACACTGAGTAAAATGTAAATAAACAATGCAACAATTTGTTAATCTCATAATCAAACGTTTTATTCTCAAGTAAGCATACGGAATGTTAAAACTAAGAAATTGTACCCGTTTTAGGAAAGAAATTGGGTAATTTTGATGGCACTGAAACAAATGAGGATGGAGCAAATAAAAATAGCACAAATACCAAAAACACTAAACAGCTCATCAAGAAGCTGCGTTTTGAATAAAACGCAGCTTTATGATATTTGCATTTTCATTACATTCTGTTTTTATTTACAAAACAGCGCTTTTTTTTTTGGAACTGCGGTTGCATTTTGTTAAATATCACTTAGAAAAATGACCAGACTAAGTTTACCAGTTTGACAATGACTAAACATTAGCAGGGGATTTTTATAAGAATTAATCATTCTGCGATTCCTACATTTCTTTCTTGTTGAGCAGCATGCAAAGAAATAAACTGTGGCGTAAGAGTGTGAAGGCAAAACCTATTAGCTCCTGAAAGCATCAGATAATATTTAGGTCACCGTGGCTCAAACATCTGCTGGCTTAGATTAGATGGCAGCCTGGGATTATATCGAGGCATTGCAGGCTTGCTCAGCATTTCATCCCCGCCGAACCTCCCCTCCTCATCTTAACCCAAATCGCTCACAGAAATTTAGAAGCAGCAAAATAAACATGAACACTGACTGTATCACTGCTGTTATGTCACCGTTTGGTGTTTCAACCCATGGGATTTACAGAGTGACCTGATTCCCTGTCAGCTAGCTTTCATTTGTCAGGCCAAGGGGGGAATCCTTGGATGGCACCGTCTGCTGGTTGGTGCCGGTACGTTTCATACATCACGCTGAACTGTAGCAGAATCTACGGTATCTTGTTTATTAGCAGGATGCCAGTGAGAAAATTATACATTTGTAATTGATTTATTTTGATCAGGTTCAATAGGAACATGGATGACCCTAAATTTTCTTTAAACTCAGACAAGACTGAGGTTTTAGTTTTTGGACCTGAGCATCTTAGGAATGAATGTTTCAGTCTTTCTCCATCATTAGATGCATTAATCTGTCCTCCAGCTCTAATGTTAAAAATCTTGGTGTCATTTTTGATCAGGTCATGTCTTTTATCCCCCACATTAAAAACGTTAGAACCACCTTCTTCCACCTGCATACTATCGCTAAAATTAGAAACATTTGATCTAAAAGTGATGCAGAAAAACTGGTTCATGCATTTGTCACGTCTAGACTGGACTATTGAGATGGTTTATTATCTGGGTGTCCAAATACTTCTTTAAAAAGTCTTCAGTTGATCCAAAATGCTGCTGCCAGAGTCTTAACTGGAGTTACTGGGAGAGATCACATCTCTCCAGTTTTAACTTCTCTCCATTGGCTCCCTGTCAAATCCAGGATAGAATTCAAAATCTTACTTCTAACCTACAAAGCCCTCAACAACCTAGCTCCATCTTACAAACCAGATTCCAAAAACGTTGGGACACTAAACAAATCGTGAATAAAAACTGAATATAATGATGTGGAGGTGCCAACATCTAATATTTTATTCAGAGTAGAACACAAATCACAGATCAAAAGTTTAAACTGAGAGAATGTATCATTTTAAGGGAAAAATCTGTTTTTTCCAAATTTCATGGCGTCAACAAATCCCAAAAAAGTTGGGACAAGTCCATTTTTACCACTGTGTGGCATCCCCCCTTCTTCTTACAACACTCAACAGACGTCTGGGGACAGAGGAGACCAGTTTCTCAAGTTTAGAAATAGGAATGCTCTCCCATTCATGTCTAATACAGGCCTCTAACTGTTCAATCGTCTTGGGCCTTCTTTGTCGCACCTTCCTCTTTATGATGCACCAAATGTTCTCTATAGGTGAAAGATCTGGACTGCAGGCTGGCCATTTCAGTACCCGGATCCTTCTCCTACGTAGCCATGACGTTGTGATTGCTGCAGAATGTGGTCTGGCATTATCGTGTTGAAAAATGCAGGGTCTTCCCTGAAAGAGATGACGTCTAGATGGGAGCATATGTTGTTCTAGAACCTGAACATAGTTCTCTGCATTAATGGTGCCTTTCCAGACATGCAAGCTGCCCATGACACAAGCGCTCATGCAACCCCATACCATCAGTGATGCAGGCTTCTGAACGGAGCGTTGATAACAACTTGGGCTATCCTTGTCCTCTCTGGTCCGGATGACATGGCGTCCCAGTGTTCCATAAAGAACTTCAAATCGTGACTCATCTGACCACAGAACAGTCTTCCATTTTGCCACACTCCATTTTAAATGACCCCTGGCCCAGTGCAAACGTCTG